TATAAGAGACTTCTCCGGTCTCGACAACTCTCTTATATTCGGGTTACACTGTATGTAATATATGGATCTTTAGATTTTCTCGCCCATTTCGCTTGGTATTCGCCAAAATTTTGGATAATAAATTGTTGGTCTTAATTGTATTTCTTGTACTGGAATAAAATTCTAATTTACTTTTTAAAGTGTTGAGAATCTAACTTTAATTCAATGTAATCGCTAGCGGCCATTGCTTTTTGCCTTTTTTTTTTCTTGAACCAAAAATATTTTTTATCGTTTTGAAATTTTTACTACACCCAAAAAACAAATTTTGTGTCGCAAAAAAAATAAATTTGAACATTCTTTTTACACAAAAAATAAGTTGTAACGGAATTTAACAAATTTAAAATAAAAAATGAATAGGTTAGTCGAGAATATAAGAATAACAAAATGTTCGATGATAGGTAAAAATTTAGCATAAAATTTATTTATAAAAATAAATTATATTTTTATCAGGACAAAAATACCATTTCACACAAAGAATTAACCAACATTTGGGCGAATACCGAAATATCTTTTAAAAATTAATCTTTTAGATTTTTTTTTTTTTTTTTTTTTTGCGAGCACAATGATACTTTTTGTTTTTGTTGCCATATTTTACAAAAAAAACTTTCTCAAAAGATTTTGCAAAATAATTAATTAGACAAATATTTTCGCAAAATTTTATCTAACTACTATTGAGTTGATATTTAGATTTATTTTTTAAATCGGTATGTCCAACTTTTTATTAAAATTATAAAATACAGTTAAAAAATGTTTCACAAATGAATCCCTTTGTCTACCTTCTGTAACTAAATAAAATTGAGATTTATCGTAAATTAATACTACGAAAAGATGGGGTTGAGGCTGGTCTTCACCATCTTACCTAGCTAATGGAATTTAATATGTTAATAATGTTTTTAGGTTTATCAAATCAAAATCAATTAGGAATGTTTAATTCCTTCGGATTTGGATAAACCTTTGTGAACAATGGATCTGTCCAAAAGAAAATAAACTAAGTATTCTGTTGCGATTTTGTTTGTCGTGGGAAGTGTTGAGTAGCGCTAGTTACAACCTCGCCCCTGGCGATACCAGACCTCTGCACGAGTCCACCGATTTAATTTAACCTACACAGCAACACTGTGTAGTAGTTTCAGACTACTACTACTACTCTATAGTGTAGCGACTGTTTGTTCAGCGTTATTTTTCAACTGAACCTGTCGAGGCTTGGAGAATTTAACACTGGACACATTGAAGGCAAGAGAGGACGAGGGAGGGATGAACTTATCAGACATGTTTGTGTAAAAAGATGGAGGAGCAAACGCCACAAAGAGAAACCATAGAGGAAAGTACTACACTGAAAGCGACAGAAGACTGGAAACTGTGGAGAACCATGACCTCATAACCTGAAGCGTCACTAAAGAAAGACTAATAAACCCATACACAAAAATAAATATAGAAAGTGAGAAACTCTGTGTGTGTGTACGTATGTGTGTCGATGTGGAATAGAAATTAATAAAGTGTAGTTCCAGTATTTTTCTTTGATACCTCCACATTTTCGTTGAAAAACAGCTTAGCATAATGAAAAAAGAAAACAAAAAAAACGCCCCAAACTTAATAAAAACAAAGTTTCATCGTCAAAATGTTTAAAGGAAAAAAACAAAAACAAAGTATTTCTTTAATTATCTTAAATTGTTTACTCCTTCCTTAACACATTCGAAATTTTTGATAAAAATGTTTTTTTTTACGTCAGCAATTGACGTAATAATTACGATAATGTTTCTGTTTTTTTTGTTTTTGTTTTTTTTGTTTTTTTTTCTTCCTTTTTTTTCCAGTGAAAAACAATAATTTGGAAATCTTTGCAAAAAATCAAATAATTGTCGGATTTTAATGAAATTTTCATAACTTATTCACGAATAAATAAAATTATTTTTCAATTTATTTTTTTAATACTGGCTGCTTAGGGTACTTCGAGGTGATGTAAAGAGTTATCAAGCTTTTTTCGCTAGATCAATTACGATTGAATAAGGAGTTCTCTATCCATACTTTTTTAGCCTTGTGCCACAGCTAAGCTACGTTAAGCTTAGTAAATCACTATCCTCACAGGCTCCCGCAGGCTAAAATGGGTAAATATATTTACCCACCTACTCCCGGTGACACAAGTACGAAGTTTATGCGTTGCCCTACTTACAGACAAGGACAAAGACATTCCCAGTCCCTGACACTAATATCACGCAGAGGTCGGCATACACCAACCCCTTGGCCCCTCACAATCAGGAAAGTACCGCCTTAGGTTTGAATCTCCAGAACCAGATCATTCGACCCGAGATTGACAGATACTACAGTTGTATTTACCCGTAAGGTGACAGGGCCGGTTTAGAGTGGGGAGCTCAAGCGAGTACACAAGCCTCAAATTGTCCACCCGCAAAGTCGCGCTGGCGTCAATAGTCCACCGATACCCCCCTCCTATCTCTTTGGTGCAATTAGGGAGGTGCTGTTGCAGGGTTGGAAACCCCGAGACCAAGTATCCCTCATTCCTGGTGATTTTATAAGCGTAGCATAGATGTAGCATAAGGGCGAAAGTGTGGGGCACTCAGTGCGAATCGAACTCACTATTCAGTGGTAATTGTTCTAGCGATACGAGCTTGTTAACAATTACTCTACGTCGAAAAAAAAATTGTGTGTCTCGTTCTGTCTGAAGTCAGAAACACCAGCCAGTTATGTGCCATGCGTGATAGACGCTTAGGCGATCATGTATCGAAAGATACATGAGTGACGAGGCAGATTTTTTCCCGCAGTAGGTTGCCATTTCTTTCTGTGGTAGACCAGTTGCCATCCAAAGCTATAGAACTAGGTCTGTCCTGCTATTTGCCCATAGCTAGCTTTGGAGAAGAAGAGGATTCATACCTTTCCCAAGGGTATTAGCACGAAAGTGAATGTGATAGATTTGACTGAAATTCGAACTCTCTGATTCCTCAAATCCCAGCCTCTATCTATTACTCCACCGTGCCTCTAGAAACACCAGTGAGAGATAAAATGTAATTTGCCCGAGGGCAGATACAATATTTTGATCTCAGACCGATGGCCTGGTAAAGCAATTTTTTATGCGCCAGTATGTGGGTAGGTGCTGGGTAATGGGTTCTCCACAAATTCCTATCTTTTGTTGACCCTTACTCTTCTTCCCAATCCCAATTTTTTTTATATTCAACATTTGCAGTTATGCATATGCACACGTCTTCCATTCAGAAGCTCACTGCTCTTAACATGTACAATGCTTCTCAACCTTTTTCAGCCCATGGACCTTTTTTTGTCTTCAAAAAATTCAAATGGACCACTTTTACTTTTAGGCTGTTCAATTTCCACACTAAAATACTCGATGAAAAGACAAAGTAGTCTATTTATACTTTAAAATTTATTTTAGTAAACAAAGATAAACACAGGATATCAAAATTAATTTTGATAATGTCATTTAGACTGTCCATTCAGCTAGTGACTACCTTGATCTTGGTGTTTCTGACACAAGATATCATAATCAATTTTTATGGTGTCAAATTTATTATCAAACACTATTTTATAGTCATCTATTAACATGTGAATAATAATTTTTTTTTATATGAATATAACATTTTATAAATATATAACTATTAAAATTTATATATAGTATATACTGTGTAACCCGGATATAAGAGACCCGGATATAAGAGAGATTTTATCTGGTTCCAAATTAGAGCCTGTGTTAATGTATATAAAATAGACCAAACCCGGATATAAGAGAAACCCGGATATAAGAGACTTCTCCGGTCCCGACAACTCTCTTATATCGGGGTTACACTGTATAACATTGTATAAATACACACACACACTATATATATATATATATATATATATATATATATAATAAAATAAATATAGCACTGCTTAATACCTACGTAATTCAGAAATTTTTAAATATAATGGACATTTCTGTAATTAAACAAATTATATTTTTTTAATTCTTCAAAGTACGAATAATTTAAATACATTTTTGTGAAATGGCTACCTTTTTTTATGGCTACGAATTCTTTGTGGACCATTAGAAATGCTATATGTCCCACAGATGGTTCACCCTGACTACGTTGAGAATTACTGATGTTTGTAGTGTAATAATATTCTCGAGTCCCAGGCAAAAACAACTCATTTGGAAGTGGTGGGTTTTAGGGAAAATATCTGGCGTCAGAAAAGAAGTAAATGCCAAAGTGGCTTGAGTAGTTTTTGTCCCACATCCCATGTACACGTGTAACGCCCACTTTTAAAGTAAGCTTTGTGCCACATTTCATTCGAGTGGGCCGACGGATAGAAATATGCATTTCTCAAATGGCTTTTTATTTTTTCCGGACTTATTTGATGATTGGTTTTTCAATATTTAAAAAAAAAAAAAAAAAAAAATGTAACTTTTTTTCTGAATTAAAAAATATTAACAGACGAAATAAATCTACGCACAAAAAAAAATGACGAATTTGTTTTAACTGGATAATTGTCGAAGAAATTTAATTAATATTTTAAAATATCAAAAACATAGCAAATAACGCAGCACTTATTTCGGTTAAACCCGTTACTTAAAACGATTACTTTGCTACTTATATAAAAGTCTTAGTTGGCAATAATATAGTAATTTTCTGAGCGTAGTTTAGATGTGGCACAAGGCTAAAAGTATGGGCACTTAGTAAGGATCGAACTCACTATTCAGTCGTAATTGATCTAGCGAGACAAGCATGACTAACCATACACCAAGTCGAAGTACCCACGATGGCAATAATAATATAAGTGACAAATGGTTATAAAAAGTACTACTGATTATTTACAGCTAATATGTTTAAATAATGCACTATTGTTTTGAGCCATGTGACAATAATTGTAAGTAAAATGATGCACTAAAATAAGTAACCAAGTAATCGTTTTAAGTTTCCTGATAATCGGCGTCTTTAAAAAGTAAAGTTTATTTCCTATACCTTAGCTTTCTCCTCCATGGTGTCTGTGTGGTTCGTTGTTTAAATCGGACAGTCTCGTCTCTGTGGCTACAGCTGCAGTTTGTTTTGCAAAATGTGAGACCCACAGTTGCAAACTCGACTCAGAAAAATGGGAGCAGACGACAGTGTAAAGTGAGCATTTTAGCAGGAACTTAGCAGGAAGTAGGATTATTTTCTTTACAGGGGAGACAGAAAAAAAAAAAGAAGAAGAAGAAGAAGAAAGACAAAGAAAAGAAAGAAAAACCGAGATAGAAATAACATACTAGAATAGTCTCTTTGCTTTATCGCAACAACTCAATGGGTAGATAATAATAAAAAGTACCCCTGTATCTCCATCGAAATGCAATGCATTAGTAGATGATTAAGTTTCAATTGATAGGTTGGCCGGTTTATTTAGCAGTGAAAGGGAAGAGAACCAACCCACATCTCGTTGTCGTGTTCTGTTGTTAAGTGTTTAGAAGAGAAAAAAAAAAGGTTTTTCCTTCCTAACCAAACTGTGGGAAAAGATAACACGACGACTACGTAATTCCTATTAAATTTATCTTGGTGACCCAGAGACTTAAAAAAAAATTAGAACATAATGGTTCACAAACATAAAACATTTTAAAGGGCAGGAATTTACAAATTTACATTTCAGGGGAGTCCAGAAATTTTTAAAAATTGTAAAAAAATTCTTAACGTTAAAAAACATACTCGTGCAGTCAGATTTATTTAATTCGTTCTGCTCAAACAGGTGCACCCAGTAGATATTAATAAGCAATAGTGCTAGGCTTCTTCTATGTTCCGTCTCCATTCAGGGCGTAGGTGGTGATGGCTCTCTACGATTTCCTGTCCTTTGTAGCTCTTAATAATATTTTTTTGATTAAGCCTTGTTCCGCCATCCATTTACTCAATCGCCCTGTCGGCTGGGACTGTAGAATACGCGTACTGAACCTCTGCAGAAGGGTAAGACCCTCACCCCAATGAGTAGTCCAGAGAATGATGTAGTCCTGGATAAACTACATCCTGCGGCAAGCCTCTGATCGTGAGATTCGAGGTTTTAAGGAGCATTGAACAATCTTTTAATTGTTGTTGTTTCCCGGTTCAGCCTAACTCGGGGTAGTAGCAACTGTTAGGCTCCCAGCTAAACAAAAATCAATACACTAGGAAAGTATAAAAATACATTTTTATAGTAAAATTACCAGCAATACATTTTAATAACAAAATTACCAACAATACATTTTTGCAGCAAAATTTACCAGTAGTACATTTTTTTTAATAAAATTACCACCAATAGATTTTATCATCCATGCGTAATATGCGCGTAGGCGATCATTAATCTTTCAATACATGACTGGCAGATTTTTTCCCGCAGTAGGTTACCATTTCTTTCTGCGGTAGACTAGTCGCCATCCAAGGCTCTAGAACCCGGACGTTTACCCTGAAATTATAAAATTATGTACAAAATACCTGTAGTTGAAGGCACACAATTGTGGTCAAATATTTAGAGTTCAGCATTAAATAACCCGTAAATGATCATATGCCGTCGCACAAAATCAACCAAACCAAACTAAACCATTTACTCAAGCTTACTAGGTAATGCGTTGTTTTCATATGTCTTTCTTACCTTCAACTGTCTTGTGAGTATCAAATTTTTCAAATCCTCTTTTCGCATCAGGCCTCAAAAACAAAACTGCTCTCTATTAATCACTACAGAGATCCTTCCCTGCCACCCATTAGAATGTCTGACGCTCAACTTCTTGACAGCAACTCTCTGCGGCTGCTCGGTCTCAAGTTGACGGCTGACCTGAAATGGAACAAATACATTGAGTCAATTGCTTCGTCCACCGCAAGGAAAGTTGGCTCCCTGTGCCGCACCAGGAATTTTTTCTCCCCGGAATCGATCCTCCAGATCTACAAATCAACAATTCGCCCTTGCATGGAGTATTGCTGCCATATATGGTCTGGAGCCCCTTCTGTTTGCCTCGGGGTTCTTAATAGGCTCCAGAGGCGGATATGCAATATAATTGGCCCTGCTCTGGCATCTCGTCTACAGTCACTTTCTCACAGACGCGCCGTCGCATCTCTCTGTCTGTTTTACAAATACTTTCATGGTAATTGCTCCGAGGAGCTGCATTCGCTGGTTCCCAGACTTCATGAGTTCAAGCGTCCTGCGAAGCTGGCATCCCGCTCTCACCCCTTCACTGTCGAAACTCCTAAATGTAGCCGTCTCTTCTACTCCAATAGCTTCATGTCTCGCACCTCTCGCCTGTGGAACTCCCTTCCCTATTCCAGTTTCCCTGGAGCTATAATCTCCAGCTAAATGTAATGTCAATCGACATCTCCAGTTGCCTTGATCTATCCACTACCCTTCTCCTCATCCTTTCTTTTATCACTCCTATCTGATCTTGCTCCAAATTTCCTGTAACCCCTTGCGTCCTAGTGGCTTCCCGCCTTGCTTGGGGTGAAACGCTTAAAAAAATGTACCTTACAAATTTCCACTGTCTCTTTCCGTTAAAGTATAAGTGTCCTTTTTGTTTCCATTTTCTCTAAAACATCGTCATTGCTCACATGTTTGTTCCATAGTATTCTCAGCATCCTTCTGTAGAACCCTATTTCTGTTGTTTCAAGTCTCTTCTTCATCTGTGAGGAGATTGTCCAGCATTCACTGCCATATAGGAGGAATGATATTATCTAAAAGTTAAATATTCTTTTTCTTTGTTTCTAACAAAATTTTTCTGTTTTTTAATACTCTGCTTAGCTTTTGGAAGGCATCTCAATGCGCATTCGGATTTCAAATGAAACAAGTACAGCTATCATCTTTTATTAATTAGTTATATAAAATAATTAAAAATAATACTTAAAAAGAATAAATATTAATGTGTCTAATTTTATTGTATACACTTACTTTTGGGAGAAGTATATTAAATGAAAGATGGTTTGTGAAAATTGTTTCATTTACGTGTAAAAGTTTTTTGTTGTTGTTTAGGATTAGCTTTAAAAGGGACTGCCAGAAATAACGGTCATGGCAGACTATTGGTGTTCATATTTTCAAATTAAAAAAAAAAAATTATATTCCCCTTTTATTTCTTGTCCAATTAAAAGGGGTGGCGTCCACCCATGTAAATTTAAATTTGAGACCTGTTTGATCCTCTTGTGAGAATATTTTAAAAGACGGCTCAGTAGATGAAAAGCAGAAGGTACTTAGATGTCAGATGCGAAGGAAGCCGACTAGCTACAGGGAGAAAGAGCGGACGGTTTTGTGGCTTACATATGTGAAAGACGCTAGCCACTGTTAGGATAGAAAAAAAAAGCCTAAAAGTTTTCGGCATTCTCAAGGAATACGATAATGCAAAAGAAAAAGGATGTGGAGAAACTTGAAGCCGACCACAAAAAGGAAACTCGAAGAAAGCATGAAGACATTTTAAAAAAAATATCGTTAAAGGCCTCATTGAAGCACGTAAGTAGCCAAGCAGAAAGAAAACCGAAAGATGTTTCAAAATATGGTTTAAGGTCGTGGAATAAGCCAAAGTAGGTATTTTCGTTTATCTATCAGGTGGATGGACATTTTTCTAAAGAGTAATTTCTTCCCTTATTCGACTGTTTTTGTATCACCTTCTCAAGATTTTTTTTTTATGATCTGAAGAATTCTGTTGTAATTCCAATAATCATATAATAATTGTGTTTGTTAATTCATTCGTTAATTACTTAGTTTGCACGATCATTACGCTCTGTCACTAACTCATAAATAATAGTCTATTCCATTCACAGGCGCTACTTGTTTTCAGTGAGAAAATGAAAGAAAGAATGGAAGGTAGAAATATTCAGCGTCTGTTTCAGTGGAAGAAAAAAAGTTGTCAATTTCAAATATTTTCATTTGTACCCCCTTATTTCTTGAAGTCAGTCAGTTATGTGCCATGCGTGATACACGCTTAGGCGATCATTTATCTCTCGATGCATGATTGACGAGGCAGATTTTTTTTCCCGCAGTAGGTTGCCATTTCTTTCTGCGGTAGACCAGTTGCCATCCACGGCTGTAACTTGGAGAGAAGAAGAGGATTCATACCTTTCCCAAGGGTATTAGCACGTCAGTCAATCAGTTATATGCCATACGTGATACACACTTAGGCGATCATGTATCGAAAGATACATGACTGACGAGGCAGATTTTTTTTCTGCAGTAGGTTGCTCTTTCTGCGGTAGACTAGTTGCCATCCAAGACTATAGAACCCGGTCAGTCCTGCTATGCAGCCATAACTGAGGGGAGAAGAGGATTCATACCTTCCCCAAGGTTATTAGCACATAAGTAGATGTAATGGATTCGACTGGAATTCGAACTCGGCTCTCTGATTCCTCCGTCCGAGCCGCTTTTATAATTTTATAATTTCAGTGTAAACATCCGGGTTCTAGAGCCTTGGATGGCGACTAGTCTACCGCAGAAAGAAATGGTAACCAAAAAATCTGCCTTGCCACTCATGCATCGAAAGATTAATGATCGCCTACGCGCATATTACGCATGGATGATAAAATCTATTGGTGGTAATTTTATTAAAAAAAATGTACTACTGGTAAATTTTGGTACAAAAATGTATTGTTGGTAATTTTGTTATAAAAATGTATTGCTGGTAATTTTACTATAAAAATGTTTTTTTTATACTTTCCTAGTGTATTGATTTTTGAGGAATGGATATTCTTCCTCTAACTAACGATCAGCATTCTTATTTATGACTGTTATTGCAATATTTTGCTAAAGTTGTTAAGCACAAATATCTAACGATGCGATATCAGAATTTCTATGGATATTTTATCGTCCTAGATCCCGCCATGAACTTATTTAACCTAACTGAAGAGTTAAGAACCATCAGAAATTTAAAATAGGAAAAACCATGAAATCTTCTGTAATTTTGTTACGTTGGCTTGCCTTGTTCAGAATAGAGTGCTCAAAATGAGATTTTTGTGCAAGCTTTATTGTAAAGATTGTGTTTTATTGTTTCATGCCAATGTAGTAAATGTTTCTACTT